GTTTCGTCGGGAAGGCTTTGCGCTGCAGCGGGCCAAAAGGCCTAAAAGCCACGGGTCCCGTAGGCGACCCCCTTCGTAACGCCTTTGTAGCGCGCCGGCAGCCCAAGCTCTCAGAGAACGATTGCGGACAGCTGCACAAGCATCCGACTCCGACTCCGACTCCGACTCCTCCTCGTTCTTCCTCCTCATCATCATCTTCCCCCTCCTCCTCCCCCTCCCCCTCCTCCTCCTAGTCACCCTCGTGTTCATCCTCGTCATCGCCCTGCTCTTCATCCTCCTCAACCTCCTCCTCCTCCTCCTCCTGCTCCTCCTCTTCCTCCTCCTCCTTCGCATCATCATCATCATCATCATCATCATCATCATCATCATCATCATCATCAGCATCAGCATCAGCATCAGCATCAGCATCAGCATCATCACCATCACCATCATCATCATCCATCATCATCATCATCATCATCATCCTCATCATCATCATCATCAGAAGGCATCCTATTCATCATCATCATCATCATCATCATCAGCATCATCATCATCATCGTCATCGTTCATCGTCATCATCATCATCATCAGCATCATCAGCATCATCAGCATCATCAGCATCATCATCATCATCATCATCATCATCATCATCATCATCGGCATCATCATAATCATCAGCATCAGCATTAACATCAGCATCACCATCATCATCTACATTATCATCCGTATCATCATCATCACCATCATGATCATCATCATCATCAGCAGCATCATCATCATCATCATCGTCAGCCTCATCGTCAGCCTCATCATCATCAGCATCATCATCATCAACATCATCATCATAGTGATCGTCATCGTCAGCATCAGCATCATCATCATCATCACCATCATCATCATCATCGTCATCGTCATCGTCATCATCGTCATCATCATCATCATCAACATCATCATCATAATCACCCTCGTGCTCATCCGCCTACCCCTGCTATTCACCAGCGTGTTCATCGTCGTCCTCGCCCTCCGCATCCGCCACCGCCTCCTCTTCATCCTCCTACTCAGTCTCCTCCTCGACCTCGTCCTCCACCACCATCTATTCCTCCTCCATTCCCTCCATTTCGCCCTCCTCCTCCCCCTCCTCCATCTTCTCCGCATCCTGCTCATCCTTCTCCTCATCCTCGTCCTCCTCGTCGTCAGCCTCGTCCTCCCCCTCGTCGTCATCCTCGTCCTCCTCCTCCTCGTCCTCCTCCGCCTGATCCTCTTCTCCTTCTCCTACTCCTCCTCCTCCTCATCAGGATCATCATCAGCATCATCATCAACAGCAGCAGCAACATCAGCAGCAGCATCATCCTCCTTCACCTCCTCCTCCTCGTTCTCCTCCTCCTCCTCCTCCTCCTCCACGTCTTCCTCCTCCTCATCCTCCTCCTCCTCCTCTTGCCCCTCATAATCACCCTCGACTTCATCCTGGCCCTCGCCCGTCTTATAGATCCACCCTCTCCTCATCTTCCTCCTCCTCCTCCTCCTCGTCTTCCTCATCCTCAACCTCCTGATCCTCCTCCGCATCCTCATCCTAGTCACCCTCGTCTTCACCTTCGTCCTCGCCCTTCTCATCCACATATTCATCCTCCTCCTCCTCCTCTCCGTCCTCCTCCTCCGCCAACTCCTCCTCCGCATCCTCCTAGTCACCATCATCGTCATCCTCGTCCTCGCCCTGCTCATCCACATCCTCCTTCTCCCCCTCCTCCGTCCCCTCCCCCACCTCCTCCTCCTCCTTCTCCTCCTCCTCCTCCTCCTACCCAACCTCGTCTTCATCCTCGTCCTCGCCATTCTCCTCCACCTCCTCCTCCTCCTCGTGTTCATCCTCGTCCTCGCCCGTCTCATCCACGTCCTACTCCTCCTCCTCCTCCTCCTCCTCCTCCTCCTCCAACTTTTCCTCCTCCTCCTCCTCATCCTCATCCTGCTCCTCCTCCTCCTCCGTTTCCTCTTCATCCTCCTCATGTTCCTCCCCCCCTCCTCCTCCTCATCCTCATCCTCCTCCTCTTCCTCCTCATCGTCCTTCGCTCCCTCCTGACCATCATCCGTCTCATCCGTATCATTCTGACTCATCCTTATCGTCATCCGTATCGTCATCAGCATCATCATCATCATCATCATCATCATCATCATCATCAGCATCATCATCATCATCATCATCATCAGCAGCAGCAGCATCATCATCCTCAGCATCGTCAACAGCATCATCATCATCATCATCATCATCAGCATCATCATCAGCCTCATCATCATCATCCTCATCATCATCATCATCGTCATCATCATCATCATCAGCATCGTCATCATCATCATCATCGGCAGCATGATCATCAGCATCATCATCATCATCATCATCAGCATCATCATCATCAACATCACCAGCAACATCATCACCACCACCACCACAACCATCATCATCATCATCAGCAGCATCAGCATCGGCAGCATCATCGTCAGTATCATCACCATGATCTGCATCAGTATCATCAGCATCGTCATCAGCAGCAGCAACATCAACATCATGAGCATCAGCATCGACATCATCACCATACTTCTCAACACCATCAACGATAACAGCATCCGCATCATGGTAACCAACAACATCATCGTCATCATCATCAGCAGCAGCATCCTCAGCGACATCACCATGATCATCACCACAATAACCACTACCACAGTCAGCATCACCGTCGTCATCAGCATCAGCATCATCATCAGCATCAGGCGCATCATCATCATCATCATCATCATCATCTTCATCATCATCATCATCATCATCATCGTCAGCATCATCAGCATCATCAGCATCGTCAGCATCGTCAGCATCATCAGCATCACCCACCGTCACCGTCACCACCATCGTATCACCACATGCATGATAACCATCAACATCATCAGCATCAGCATCATCAGCAACAGTACCATGATCATCAGCATTAGCATCATCATCCCACTCATCATCATCATCATCATCATCATCATCATCAGTAGACTCATCAGCAGCATCAAAATCAACACCATCATCATCATCACCAGCAGCAGCAACATCATCATTGCCAGCGCCGTCATCAGCACGCCCCGTCGGATCAGGAAAGGGGTCTCGATCGAGCTGTCCACTCGTTGCCCATTTTTGCTAAGCGTGTGACAGTGGGTGTCAAACAATCCTCACCTTCATCTTCATCCTAATCGTCCACCTACTCATTCTATTGACTTTCGAATTCGTCTTCAACCTCGCGCTCCTCATTTGAATAGGACAGTGGGTTCAGGTCTGCAGAACACCCCAAACAGATGCCAAGGGGCGCAGCCAACCTGCTCGTTCAAGCTGAAACGGATGCATTACACCCAACGTCAAGCCAACACTGTGGACCTAAACGGATGGTTAGGTTTTGCACAACTTCGCCGACTTGACCAGCGAGAAGTTTGACCAACTTGACGCCCCGTTGCTGGTGCACATGCACTGAAGGGCACTTTCTGACCCTCGCCCCTACTCAACTCCTCACACGCCTCCTCCTCCACCTCCTCCTCCTACTCCATCTCCTCCACCTCCCCCTCCTCCTAATCATCCCCCTCCTCGTGCTCATCCGCCGACCTCTGCTATTCACCAACGTGTTCATCGTCGGTCTCGCCCGCCTCAGTCGCCGCCGCCACCTCTTCATCCTCCTGGTCATTCTCTTCCTGCCCATACTCCTCCTCCACCATTTCGTCCTCCTCCCGTTCCTCCTCCTCCCACTCCTCTTCATCCTCCTCCTCCTCCCGCTCATCCTCCTCCGCCTCCTCCCTCCTCCTCCTCCTCCTTGTGCTCACCCACTTACCCCTACGGCTCACCCTCGTTTCCATCCTGGTCTTCATGCTCGTCATCGTCCTCCTCACCCGCCCCCTCCTCATCCTCACCACCGCCCCTGCCCCCCTCTTCATTACTATACTTCTGCTTCATCTTCTTCATGTTTGTATGATTTCTCTTCCCCCCTCCTCCCACTCCGACACATCAAACACTCGCCCTCTTATCCGTCCTCCTTCCTCGTCCGTCTCCTCCTCCTCAAATTCATCATCATCGCCAACCGCGTCATTAGCAACAACCGCATCATCAACACTATCACAGTTTTCATCCGCATCTCCATACTCAGCATCACCATAATCAGCATGATCAGCAGCATCATCACCACCACCACCATCATCATCATCATTAACACCACCGCAAACAACATTATCATCATCATCATCACCAACATCTTCATGACCCGCATCAACATCATCGACACCATGATGCTAAAGTACGCTGTACACTAGCGGTGATATGCCGAAGAAGAACGTTGCAGCAGCGCGAAGCGAAAACGACGGGCGACATACATAACAACAAAATATATGCGTGAAAGACAAATTCCACAAACAAGAAACACCGGCAGCTGGATATTGGGGGAAAGGGAGCAGCTTGGCCTTCAATGGCGATAGCTATAAAGATGGGACCGACGCAACTGCACCGCTGCTAGATCATTACTGCGCCCGCACTCCCATGCTAGAGCACGTGTTGCCACAGCGATGATGGGCACGAGAAGAACGTTGCGGCAACGCGATGCGAAAGCAACGGGCGACAGAAACAACATATTTTTAATGCTGCTTGAAAAACAAATCCCGGGTCACCCCCGAACACGGATATCCTCTTCGATCGGAAAGGTTTTCTGGGGCCGCGTGGACTTAGTAGGGGCAAAAATATGCGCTGGCGCTCGGCACAGAGAGGCCGGGCAGGCCTGTGCGATGCGGGTCCACTTGACCCCGTTGGGGGCGTGCCCCTCGAGGGCGAAGTGGGCGGCCCCCGTGCGAGAGCACCCCCCCTTTCCCTGGCGCCGGCGACTGAGGCGCGAGAGATCGGTTTCGTGCACCTGGCCGCCGGGAAACTGCTTAGAAACCCCCTCCATCACGCCTTGCGGCATCATGGCGGGCGTTTTGAACAGATAATACGAATGCGGGTTTTCGAGAATCCACGGCGTTTAATGCGCGCGACGCTCACGCGCAAGCCGCGCCGCGAAGCGCATCAGCCGATTCCCTTGCTTCACGGTAGCCGTATCCTGTCTGCGCAAATCAGGAACATCCATCGGGGCCTCCTGCGTCCACAACGTCTTTGAACGGTGTTTGGCAATACTGAACATCGCACAGGGCGGCCCCATCTTCATGCCAATCACTTCCCCTGCCTGCATGTCGGCGATTAGCCCATTTATCACCTCTGGCCGAAACACGTCGCCCGTGTCGCCGTTCACGAGGTCGAAGCATCGAGCTTGGAACCCAGCAAGCTCGGCCGACCGTCCGCAGACCCCCTTTCCGCAGAAGACACACGCGAAGTAGCGCCCCCCCAGACTCAAGTGCCTCCGCAGCCCCCGAGATGAAGCCCGCTCCGCTCGGGCATCGGGATGCCGTCGAGCTGCCCCACGCAGGCGGCCAGTCGGCCGCCCGGCGATGGGCTGGGGGGGCGCTGCAACGGCTGACGCACCGCCCGTCTCTGGGATCTGCGCCGCGATCGCTTGCGCGCGGTCGGCGCTGTCCAGCGTCGCGACCACACTGCCGGCGAGAGACTCGGCCAGTCTCAGCGAGATCCTGCCGCCGTCTGATCGGCCAGCCTGCGGGCCAGGCGCCAGGCACAGCGGCCCGCCGTCAGCGGCCGTCTGGGGGCCGTCGGCCTCGCTCGGCCAGTTCGCAGCACGCGCCAGGAGCGCGCCCTTGGTACTCCTTCAGCGGGTCGGAACAGGGAACGCCTGCGACCTTGGCAGGCTCAGCCATGGCCGCGATCTCTGCGGCCTTGTCGTTGTGCGCGCGCGCTGTCGACCGAGCGGCCAGCCGCGCAGCCCGTCGTCTCGGCGCTGGCCGCGCCGCGCCGTGCCCCGCGCCCTCCGGGACCGCCGCTCGCGCCGGCGTTCCAGTCGCCGATCGTCAGCAGGCCCGCTCGCGTCGACCGCGGCCGATCCGGCCGCTCGGCCCAGCGCGGACTTCGCCCGCTGCCCGTCGTCGCCCGACTCGCGGCACAGCTCGAGAGAGCACCCGGACGAAGTAAAACTGTCCGACTCTGCAGCGCCCGCGGCCTGGCCTGCAACGCGGTCTCGGCCGCAAGCGCGCGCCGCCCGCTCGCGATCGCGGCGGGCTGGGTCGGCTGCCTGCCGAGCTCTACAGTCGCGTCGACGATGAGGGACAGCCAGCTCGCCATCGAGATTTGCCAGCGGAGTCTTACCGGCCGTCGAGCCGCAGCCTGAGCTGCCCTTCAGCTCGGCGCCTCGTGCCGAGACTCCAGCGCCGATCTCGGCCGACGGCCTTTCCACGGCCGCGGAAGGATATCCAGCCGCCGCGGGACTGCCTACCTCATGCGCCAGGCTGATGCCAGCAGGGCACTGAGCCGAAAAAACCTACGAAACGTTGAGAACGGCATTGCTGGTTATGTTCGCACTCCTTGCCGTCGACCATATCACTGATGCTACTGAATTGAAACCCCTTCTGCCAGGATCAGCCCCCCCCCCCCCAAAAAAAAAATGATACCCTTATCCGCACTGGCATTGACGTCCAGGTGACGAGTGAGAAGGCACGATGCGCTGGGAAACCGATCGCAGTTTCGACTTGGCTCGTCAGAATCATCAAGCTCGCTGGGTACCCAGCGGACAATGGTTTTTATATTGTGAGCGAGACAGTAGGCAGCGAACACACGAATCTGACTCAACAACTTGAAACCCCTGCTTCTGAATCGATCAAAACTGAAACGCACGCCCATTCTATCAACGAGGAGGATTAGGCGGACATCTTTTCCCAACGAGCTCAACGCCACGCGTCGAAGCGATATTGCCAGCGCCCGCGCCTCCAGCACCAGGGTTGGCTGCCCCCATTTCCAGGCGCCACAGAATCTCGGCCCCCAGCGGCCACGCGCCAGCCCAGCCGAGGCCACCTCGGGGAAGCTCGGGTTGACCACGTACTCGCCAGAAACCATCGCGGCCCCCGGCCCGTCGAAGTCCCCCCCTGGAAGCCCCGCCTCGGCCGGCGGCGGCGGCCCCGCGAACCCCCGAACTCCAGCAGCCGTCAGCGCGCGCCCCCGCGCCTGCGCCGCTCGGACGCCACGGAAGCGGCCCCTCTCACCAGCGCGGCCAGCTGCCTTCGCCTCTTCATCGCTCCAGAGGCTGGCGGAGACCCCGCAGCCTCACTCCGAGGCGCCACTGGCGCTCACGAGTCGATTCCATCTCGGCCACCAGTCCGAGCGCAAGAAGCCCGCAGCTCGCCCCTCACGGACGGCCACAGCGGCCGCTGATCAAGGCGATGAATTTGCACACCGGATGGAATAACGATAAGGCGAGTCGCCGCACCAGGCCGCAGAAGGCGCAGTGCCCCAAGATGACCTCTACCATCGCCCCGCTGGCCCTCCCGCGGTTCGATCGGAGCGCGGAGTGCAGCCGCCAGCGCCGCTTCTTCGTCAGCCTGGTGCGCTGCGACTCTCCGTCGAGGACAACCCCGAGCGCCTCCGCGGCGCCGCCCCTCGCCTCTTCCCCGCGCACCAGCAGGCTGAAGCTCTTGAAGACCTTCACCGCGTCAGCGAGCGCGTGCCCCACCTGCGAGCGACCGTCGCCCGTCGCCCCCAGGTTGTCCACGCGCGCGCAGTGCCCGAGCTCGTGCAGGCCGTCATTCAGGACGAGAACGGCGGGCCGACCGCGGCCCCGCAGTGGCTCCGAGGCGCGGGGCGCGGGCGCCCGCTGGCCAAGAAGACTCTCGCCTATCCGCTGGCAGAAGAAGAGACTCCAGGCGAACCCCGCGGGCAACGCCCGCGCCAGCGGCGCGATCGCATCTCCTGCAACGGCGACGGCCCCGTCGATCACCTGGCCGACCGCGCCGGCGCCCGCGACCAGCGCGTCGGGCAGGCCAAAATATCGAGAGAGCCACACTGGCATAATCAACATGTGGAACGCGTCCTTCACGTCGGCAACACCCGCGAATGCGGGCACCCCGCCGCCCTCGAAACTCTCGGCCTCGACCCCCGCGAGCCCCTCAGCCGCGAGCAGCTCGCCGCGAGCAGCTCAGCGCGCGGCGCCATCAACAACCGCGGATCGCACCTTCTGCAGCCCAGAACCACGCGCATCTTCGAACGCCCCTTCTTCCAAACAAAGAACACCCCTGTCCACCCGACGCAGCTTCGGCCGAACCTCACGCGCCCACGCTGCCGCAGGCTGGCAATGAAGTCGGCGCACCGCCGCCAGCCGCGGCTCAAACCATGATCCGCGCATGGAACCACGGGGCCGTTATGCTTCAACCTCTGTCTATCTTCCGCCGAACGAAGCATTCGTCGGCCATTCCCCTCCGTAAAATACAAGCAAGCGCCGAACAACTCCGAAACGGCCGCGCTCGGCGACCGACTCGGGCAGCGACGCCGCGTCGCGACGTTAGGGCGCAAGCGCCCTGCTGACAAGCTCGAATTCGCACGCGGCTCGCCCCTGTAGAAGGTCGCGGAAAGCCTCTTGAAGCGATGGGGCGGGTTCGTCATCCAGCGCCGGCTGCGTCCTCTCCAGGGGCCCTTCAGCGCAGGCGGCCACAGCCCCGCGCCCTGCCACTTCCTCTGCGACGGCGGCCCAAGTGGCGAAATCGTAACCAGCGAGCCAATTCAAAGCAGCGAGAGCGTCATCGCGCTGCGCCTCGAGCGAACGGCCCCGGCCCCCAGTCGCAAGCCGGCCAAGGCGCCCACGCGGCATCGGATAGATGCCCCGCGAGTCATCTGAAGGACAAACGCCTCCACGCCCCATGCATCGCGGCGGAGGGGGCGGGCGACCCCCCCGCCTGGGTCGCCCGTCACGGGGCCCCTGCACGGGCCCCCGGCAACGGCCCTCGCGGCCGCGGTCACGACCCGACCCCCTGCAACTCCACGTCTAGCCCAGCCTCGCCGGCCGCGCGCCACGGCAGCTCCGCCTCGACCTCGTCCAGCAGCGTCGGCACGCTGGACTCGACGTCCGTGGCCTCCTCCCCCACGTCGCTGGCGGCCCTCGGACGCCCCTCCTGCCCCCTGAGCTCCTCGCGGCGGGCCCCGGCACCCGCTCCGCCCTTGCGGCCGGGCAGAGCCTGCGGCGACGGCGGGCAAGGCCCGCCTGCCGCGCGCCACGGCGGCAGCGGCCTCTCTGGCGATTCCGATGGCGCCGCTCGCTCTTGCGGGGCCGCCAGCAGGGGCGCGGGCGCCGGAGGCGGGGCGGGCACCGCCGCGGGCGGCGGCGCGGCGGTGGCAGCAACGGCGCCGCCGCCTCCCGGCCCGCGCTGCCGCGGGGCGCCTTCCGCTTCGGCCTCGCCCCGGCCACGGGCTCCGTCGCCTCGACGGCCGGCGACCGACGCATCGGCTACAGCTCGAGCTCCTTCGGCGTCGCCAGCTTCAGCGCCTCCTCGGCGTACAGCGAGAACCTGCCTTTCACCGCGGCCGCCCGCAGCTCGCGTTTTGTCATGAAGCGCACTTCACGAGCCCGCGCTTCGCGAGGGCCCCAGCGGCCTTCGCCGCCAGCGGCCACCTGATACCAGTGCACCTCCTTGAGCGCACCAGGGCCGCCGCGCCGCCCGCGCCCCGTGGAGTAGGTGCCCACGCCCAGCTTCACGCACCCACCAGGAGGCACCTCGAGCTGCACCCCCGTCTCCTCGGCGAGCTCGCGGAACGCGCAGCCTAATTTGCTGCCGTCCGCCAGCTCCAACCGGCCCGTCGGGAACTCCCACACAGGGTCGGAGCCGCCAACGCGACAGAACGCCAACACTTCGGGGATCTTCTCCCCGCGCAACCGAGTCACCATGACCCCCGCGACGACGACCGGCGCCACGGCCGCGGGGCCCCCATCGAACTCGCCGGCCGCGGCGCTCGGTCGCGAGCCACCACGAGAGGCAAGCCGCATGTGAACTGGCGGCGGCGCAGCTGGCGGCGTCCATCATAAGCATATGAGGTGAGCTGGCGGCTGTGAGATGCAGCTGCCACATAAGCAACAGTAGCACAATCATCATCATCATCATCATCATCATCATCATCATCATCATCATCATCATCATCATCATCATCAGCAGCATCAGCATCAGCATCAGCATCAGCATCAGCATCATCGTCACCATCACCACATCATGAGCAGCATCATCCTCAACATGAGCATCATCCTGATCAGCATCATCATCATCATCATGCCATCATCACACCCACCACCTTTTTCCAGTATCACCATCACCATCAAGATCAACAACAGCATCAGCAGCGAAATACTAATCATCCGAATCATGTTCATCATCATCAGCAGCATGAGCAGCTTCATCATCAGCATCAGCATCAGCATCAGCAACGTCAGAAGCAGCACAAAAGTCAGCATCAGCAGCAGCATCATCAACATCAGCATAATCATCATAATCAGTGTCATCACCGCGTCACAAACACAACCACCACCATTTCCATCATCATCATCATCATCATCATCATCATCATCATCATCATCATCACCATCACCATCACCATCACCATCACCATCACCATCACCATCACCATCAGCAACATCAGCACAATCCACATCAGCATCATCCTCAGCATCAGCATCGTTATTTTCCTCCACATCTTCAACCCCTCATCAATCATCGCAGTTCCTGAACAAATGTTCCTGTCCAGACGTGTCGTTGGGAGACATTTCGCCTCCAAAAAGTTTGCCATATTGAAGCTCGATACTTCCAACAGTTACGCGGATGGGGAGCGGATCACTTTCAAAATGTGCCTCTCGCCTTGGCGTATCGCACATTCGCCCTCACGAGTTCGAACAGCCACACGGATGTTCGGAGAGTCGTTCTCAAAATGGGCATCTCACTCTGGCGCCGCCAACATTCATCTCAAATATCAAAGTATCCCAGCGCGACCCTACCTTGCCCCCGGACTTGTCCGGGAGGTTGCTAGCCCACTGGTCCGTCCAGTGGCTGTTCCTCCAGCGCTCGAGTCCTACACCTATGGCTGGTGTAGTGGGCTTCGGTGTCGATGCTTTGGGTCGTGGGCGGCTTGATGTGATCCTCCACGGTGGATGTGTCGTTCCAGATCCACGAGCAGCTGCACTCCATGACGTGGCCATGTTTTGAGCATTCTGGATGTCGCCGTTGATGCTGAGCACTGTGGCGCGCAGCGAGGAGCTGGCGCGCAGCGCAGAGCTAGCGTTGGATGTCGTGGTGAAGAGGTATCGAGCAGCTGCGACTCGTAGCCGTACTCGTGCTTGAGTTCGCTGTTCGGGTAGCCAACGGTGCCGACGTAGTGTCCTGAGGGGAAGAGGGTGTAGTCCAAAAGGAATGTAAAAAAGTATGGTTTGGAAATGGATGTTAAATTGGATGGTAAATCGGACGGGTTTGCGGTCAAGGCTGGCCCCCTGCTTAGGGCTGGCACACTGCCGCGGGCTTTTGAGCCCGAGGTGTTCATCCCCCTTTTCTTTCTCCTCCTCCTCCTCCTCCTCCGCCCTCCTGCTCCTCCTCCACCTCCTCCTCCGCCTCTTCCTACTCCTCCTCCTCCTCCTTCTCCTGTTCCTCCTCCTCCTGCTCATCCCCCTCCTCCTCCTCGTAATAGTCCTCCTCGTCCTCCTCCTCCTCCTCCTCCACCTCCTCCTCCTCTTCCTCCTCCTCCCCACCCCTCCTCTTGCCTCCTGCCACGACATGCAATGCAACGTGGCCACATACGGATGCGCAGTAAGGATACAAAAGGCCCTCGGACGCCCAAATTCAAGCCGAAGTTGGAAACATGTGGCCCACGGCTAAGCGGGAACGTTTTGGGGGGGGGCAATTCCCTCAGAGCCAAACAGCCACAACCCCCACGGCATGTTTTGTTCTTGACGTGCATCCCCAAAGGTCTCGACCCACTCCCCCGAAATAGTTTTCATCCTCGACCGTTGTCTAACGGTCCTAAAGCCTAGTGGCGGCCCAAGAGGCCAGAAATGGCAGAAAACCTTCCATCGTGATTGCTTCACAACGGGAAGGGGTATGGACAACTGGCCCTCGCTCAAGGCATCCGTGCTAGGGCCACGAGGCCCAGTGCACGAACAGCCCGAGCCCCAACAGTGCTGTCGAGGTACAGCGTGAGGGGGGGCCTGGCTCAGAGGGGAAACGTCGACCTGGAATCGGCGATACATCGCCGATAGAGCGGCGATAGGCCCCCGATCGCGAAACCGCATGGGCCTGGGCGGAGTGGGCTATCGGGCCCCAAACGGCGATCAATGGGCGACTGAGTAGTCCATGCACCTCCCCTGAGCCTATCCCTCCCCCTTACCTTGCCCACGGCTGAGGGCCAGGATAGACCGAGAGACAAGGATGCAAGGGCACCATTGGAAAGCTTCTCGTTCCTGCGTTGTTCGCCCAACGACCCAACATTGAATCTATACATATATATATACATATCTAATAATAATAATAATAATAATAATAATAATAAGAATAATAATAAAAATCATCATCATCATCATCATCATCATCATCATCATCATCATCATCATCATCATCATCATCATCATCATCATCATCATCATCATCATCATCATCATCATCAGCATCAGCCAAATCATCATCATCATCATCATCATCATCATCCCACCAGCCCTTTGGGCGTGAGTGGTTTAGGGGGCTCCCTCTGTCCTCAACCCCCCTTTCTTCCCCTTCGGGGAGGGGTTTACCCCTCCCCCTACCCCCTCCCCCTGGACCTGGATCGGGAGTCCCGAGCAGGGGAGTCTTTTTCGACTCCTGAGCGGGCCAAAAAACGACTACCCTCACGAGGATTCTGGCCCCGAGGGGGGGGGGGGAGTTTGGCCCCTCTGCGTTTCTTTGAAGCAAAAAACATTGATTGTACTCGGGTTTGGGCCCCATTTTGGCCTTCTGAGGGGGTCGCGCTCCTCTTCCCTCATCGCAAAATCATTGATTGTACGAAGGTTTTGGGCTCATTTTGACCTTCTCAGGGGACAGCGCTCATCTGCGCTTCTGAGGAGGTCGCAAGAGGCCCCAAGATGGCCCCAAGAGGCCCCCAGGATGCTCCCAAGAGGCCTCCAAGAGGCCCCCAAGAGGCCCCCAAGAGGCGCCCAAGAGGCCCCCAAGAGGCCCCCAAGAGGCCCCCAAGAGGCCCCACGAGGCCCCAAGAGGCCCCCAAGAGGCCCCCAAGAGGCCTCCAAGAGGTCCCCAAGAGGCCCCAAGAGGCTCCACGAGGCCCCCAAGAGGCCCCACGAGGAGCCCGAACGACTCACACCAGGACGAGGGGCCCGAACGACTCACACCACGAAGAGCCCGAACGACTCACACCACAAGGAGGGGCCCGAACGACTCACACCAGGACGAGGCGCCCGAACGACTCACACCACGAGGAGCCCGAACGACTCACACCACGACGCGGGCCCCGAACGACTCACACCACGAGGAGCCCGAACGAGTCACACCAGGAGGAGGGGCCCGAACGACTCACACCAGGATGAGGGGCCCGAACAACTCACACCACGAGAAGCCCGAACGACTCACACCAGGACGAAGAGCCCGAACGACTCACACCACGAAGAGCCCGAACGACTCACACCAGGAAGAAGGGCCCGAACGACTCACACCAGGACGAGAAACCCCAAACGACTCAAATCACGAGGAGCGCTTTCTCTCCCTCCTCCTCCGCCTCGTCCTTCTCCCGTTCCCCCCACAAGGAGGATGTACAAGGAGGCGGGAGGAACGAGGAACAGGGGAGATATGCGGGGCCAAGCGGACACACGCCTGAAAAACACGACTGTCGGCATGCTTCGCAAGAGTTGCTGCTGTGAGATGGGCTGGTAGGGATACGCGAAGCGTAAAGAATAATAATAATAATAATAATAATAATAATAATAATACTAATAATAATAATAATAATAATAATAATAATAATAATAATAATACTGGTAAGAATATTGATAATAATAATAATAATGATAATAATAAATGCATAAATAAGATGAGGTCCGTGCAGCTGGGCGCCCACCCCCGTGCGCCCGCCCCACCCCCTTTGCGCAACCCCCCCGCCACCTCCTCACGGCGCCCGCCCGAGCACAGTGTCGGAGGACACCAACTATACACTTACACCGATACTGACCAGCATCCCAGCATCATCGGGGGCCCAGGATCGGTACAAACGCCCTCCTGGCTTGGGCAGGCAGGCAAACACACCGAACATGGGCCCAGGATCGGCCTGCCCAGGATCGGTGTTGGTGTGAAAATGGCGGAACCGACCAGCACAGCAACTGGATGATGCGCTTTGGCTGTGCCCCTCCTGCCTCCTCCGCTTTTGACCCCGCCGCGGCGTGCAAGCGGCCGCAGGCAGAGGTGAGCAGGGGCGGCATGCGGGGGATGCACGCCGCGAAAAGGCGCCCGCCAGCGCCCTTCGCCTGAATGCCCTCCGAAGCTGCTGTTGCTGCTGCTGCTGCTGCTGCTGCTGCTGCTGCGGCGTTCCTCCTCCTGCTCCTGCTCCCGCTCCCGCTCCCGCTCCTCCTCCTCCCCCTCCTCCTCCTCCCCAACAGTCACGTTCACTCGCGGTGTTAAAGCCCCAGGAACGGCATGCTGGTACGATCTCGGCGTGTCAAGATGCGACAGTCACGTTGACCCGCGGCGCTGAAGTCCCAAGATCTGCGCCCTAGCACGATTCAGGATTCCAAGACGCGTGCCTTCTAATGGGCCACTTTCCGCAATGGAAATCCCACCAACCCTTTGGGGCGTGAGTGGTTTAGAAAGTGTCCTCTTCAAATCCCACTTCTTCCCCTTCGGGCAGGGAATCATATGGGTTTAATCACTGCGCCCTATTACTAGACACCCCCTCCCAGGCGACAGGCAGCCAACGAGGACCTATGAGGGCCCCCCCACCATCCTTGTCAAAACAAAATGAAAATACAACTTCTGG